TAGGGTTTCATTAGAACACACCATCAGCAAACATCTCAGTAAATTAATAATCATTTAGTAGCTAAACTAGACAATAAGAATTGTTCAGTAAAAAAAAAGGTAAATAAAATTATCATTATTACATCTCATGATTCCCAGACTAACAATATTAGCTTGGGAGCTAAAATTGTTAACTTAAGAACTAACGTCATTTATTAGTGACATCAAAATGACTCCCAAGCTAACAATGTTAGCTCAGGAACTAATAAATAAGCAGAAATTTAAAAGATATTAATTCAAAATTGCAGTGCTGTGATTTTGAAGTTAACCTGCTGCTCTTACCCCTCTGAGCCAGTAAGGCAGGTAGTCACAAAGCTGAGTTGGTGTGTAAGCATGAACTCATTTTTCAAGATTTTGAGCTATAATTGGGTGTGGTAGTAGCTGACGGTTGTTCCTACTACATACTTTGAGCTTTAAATATTGGAGTCAATTGTGTTTGTTCGCAAAATATCCTATAAACTGCTAAACGAAACTCTCAGAAAGTCCAGTCAGGCCCTGAAAGCAGGTAAATAAGTGAGAAAATCTATAATTTTAATTATTGTAACATTCAGGACAAATAGATACATAAAACTTTCAGCCTAAATTGATTTGAAAGTTGAGTTTTTCTGTTTAAAGGAACAATATTTTCAGTCTCTACGTGTAAAAAAAGTCAGAAACGCTGCCGTTGTGCCACGATTTGAGCCAGTTCTGCTGCATGGGGCCAGGCCCGCTTGCCATCATTGATGAAACAATGAATTCTGAATTACCCCTGTGAATCTTAAAAGAAAATGTCACGACGTCTGTCTGTGACCTGAACCGTAAGGTGCTCGTCATTCACGCAGGAAATCAACAACTTCAAGTCCACGAGTCCTTTGACCAAAAACACACCAAGGAAGGAAAATGCTTGTTTCAGAATGACCAAAACAAAACTCAATTTGACCTTAAGTCAGAGTAAAATGTTACGCTTGATGGTATCGGCTGACGAGTTCCAAGTTCTGTAAAGGTCAGAGATTGTAGATGTGTTTTTGTCATTTACAGGTATGTAAAACTGGGCATTTTCTTCAATCATTATTTAATTTAGTCTATTTATTGAAACGTCAGCCCAGGATTCTATAAAAGATGAAAAACTGGTTCCAGTCTCGGTGGTTTCACAGGATCTCAGAGGTTCAGGTTCATCAGGAGTTTTAACATCAGTTTGGGAGGGGTCAAAGGTCATTTACAGACCATTTATTTACCATTTAGGTTCAACAATTCAGTTCAAATCAGTATTGTGTGAATTATAAATCTATATTATAATATATATATACTGAGCTGAAGTTGGGTGTGGTGGTAGAAGAGAGTCGTCCCCACAGTGAGAGACAACAGACTGGGTGACATCTTAAAAAAAACTTAAACCTGAAGGGAGGCGAAAAACTCAAAAATATAAAAATTTTTCAAGTTAATTTTGAGTCAGATATTTCAGACTATATGTGTCAAACTCATGGGGCCCATTAGCGCTTCAAGGTTGTATTAATGTCTTAAAATAAGCTGCGTTAAAGCCAGCTTTGACCATAAACTACATCTCACATGATGCAGGTTGATTATTTTACCCACTTAATGGCAAAATCCCACCACTAGGTGGAGCTGCACAGAGTGCAAGACAAAATTCGCTGTGTAAAATCTCGATTTTGCTACATTTTTGCTGGCTACTTTAGCTGTTGCCCAGTTGCACTGGGAAGTGGGATTTTCCCACTTACAAGTCGTACATTTAATCTGGAATGCACTTTCAGTGGGAATTCCCTGTGGGAAGGTGGGAAAGCTCAGAATTCAAGATGGCAGCTATTCACCATAACACAACAGTGAGTAAAACTAACTTTTACTTTTAATAGTATTTCTGTAGTATTTATTTCACATTACTCAGTTGTACACGTGGTACCTTTGGTGTTTATAAGATGTGTTAAAACACTGTTTCTATGCAGGAAAAAGCAGGTAGAGCCCAGTTAGTGTTTGTTAATGGAGCTCAGGAGTATTTTCAGAATCCTGTTTTTTCAGTTATATTTTGACACCAGATGTAAAAATGGGTCTGAATCCTTTTTTAAATTTATTTATTTTTGGTATTCTAATGAGGATTTCTTGACGTTGTCTGAAAGAGGAAACCTCAAACTATATTTGTACTTCAGGACTTCTCAGCCAGTGATGAAAACAGCTTCATCAWCTCATAGAAAAGTAGCTAAAATTGAGAGATTTTCTGCTCCAAACCATCATTATTGGTTGGTTCTGCTCAGAGGTGGTTGTGTTTTGATAAAAGTATAATTGCACCAGCTGCCTGTATGTGACTTCAGCACACTGTGAGAGAATCCTGGGTTCAGTTTCTGTTTCAGTAAAAGTCGTTCACAGAACCAGCTGAACACGACAGGACTGTAGAACCTCAGAAACATCAGCCGTCTCAGCTTTGGTTTGAAATTCAAAGAAGAAAAACGAGTGGCTGAATTCAAAAAGCGTCGCTTCAGAGCGTCACATGAAAAGCCCAAGTCATCCGTCCTGCCGTCGCTTAATTTGCTTTGACTTTAATTTTTTTTTATTTTCCAACCACATTCCAAATGTTTTTCTTATTCTGCGAATCCATCAAACATTACACGCTCCGACTGACTGCAGCTCCCCGCCTCCACATCTGAGAAACTCTCCTCTGATTTATGTAGATCTCATATTAAAGCCTGTTGTGAAGCAGCCTTCATGTATTATTCACCYCGGCAACTGCCGAGTGCGTGCACGAGCGTGCCGCGCGTGCACGAGCCCACTGACTCATCAGGCCGATAAGAGACGACGTGTGCAGCTGATACGCTGAAAACAACACAGTCTCAGTTTTAGCTCAAAGGAAAGCAGCAGAAACAGAGTTACGGCCGTTCGGTGATTTACAGAAATCTTTGAAAATAGACTTTAACACGTGCAGCATGATTGGGAATAAAGCGCAGCACGTTCTGGTAACGGAACATCAAGCTGCGTCGATAGAAACAAGTAAAAAGCTTTAAAAAATCCACTTAAACAGTTTAAATAAAATAAATCCAGTGGTTTGGATGAACAGCTCAAACTTTACAGCAGAAACATCAACAAGTCGCAGAAAGTTGGTCTTTTTATCACTGATTTGCTGTTCTGTTGTATTTAACGGTTTTTACTCAAACCTTGATTTTACCTCAGAACCTCTGAGCTTCTGAATGTTACAAACTTTAACACATCTTAAACAGTTCAGACGTCAAATTGTTGACATGTTTGTCTCCTTTCACTCCGTTTGTCTTCAGAGAGCAGAGTCCGCTCAGTGAAACTGATTTCATTTCAAATTAAAGGCATCATTTTATAATTCTAACAGCTTTTATTCCAAACAGGAAGTGGCGTTCACAGTGCACGGTTCGTGCCATCCTGTTTTTTTCTAAACTTTTTATTTATTTTCCAATAACTTTCTTATAAAAAATATACACAATTCCATCCTTGTCCCAATTACAATTTACATCTTGATAACTTTACTGATGTAGTTCTCCATTTTCAACATTTGACCTATTAAAATATTTACTCAACAATAAAATAGAAACCAGTTCAAACACAAAGTACACAAAGTACTACACACACACGCATCCCAACAGCAACAATTTGTCTGAATTTTACAAGAAGTTGCACACAATTTTTTGCTTTTTGTTGTGAAATAGCCAAAAAAAAGCATCTAAATTAGCAGAAAAAGTAGCTGAAAAAGCAGAATCTAGCCCAAAGAAGCAGAAAGAGCATTTTTTGTGAATTAAGCATTAAAAAGCTGAAAATATCCCAAAAATGTGTTTAGCTAAAAAAAAAAAGAAGCTAGAATTAGCTGAAAATAACCATAAAATAGCTTAAATTGCAGAAAACAGCTAAAACAAACACGAAAAGCAGAAAGAAGCTGATAGAGGTACAAAGAGTTTAAATGATCAGAATTGCTGAAAAGGCTGAAATAAGCCAAGAGTTAGTGAAAAAAGAAGCTGAAATTAGCACAAATAAATTAAAAAAGCTAAACTGAAACAAAAGGTGAAAAGTACTGTAAAGGTTCAACTATCTTCAAGTATTTTAAGAATGGTGAAGGATGAAAAAAGGCTACAAATCTCAAAAAATACAAACTGCTGAAAATCCAGGAGTTCTAGCTGGAATGTCCTGAAGCAGCTGAAAGGTTTAAAACATGAATTGCTGAAATAGCACAAAAGTTGTGTAACGAAATACGGGAGAAAAACAATCACAATAGCTTTGGGAATAAAAGAATTTCAGTAAAACAAATAAAAAAGCCAGATTTGGTTCATTAAAAATGGAAAATCTGTTGACTTCAGACTGAAAAAGCAGCTAAAAGAACGTTCAGGTCAGAAAACGTTCAAGTTTATGTTCACATTAAAAATCAAACTATTTTCAGACAAATAAAAATCTAAACCTTTAGCGTCAGCTTTCAACAATGTGAGTAAATGTAGAGGAATTTAAAGCAAGCTGCCTTCATCTTAAGATCATCGTTTAATTTTGTTTTCTAAAAACCAGACTTACGATGGTGAAGTTCATGACCTTCAGGATCCAAATGGTAAGAGCCAAGTTGATGAGGATGAGGATCATCAGCAGCAGGACGAAGAAGTAAAGGCAGCGTTTCCTCCAGCCGTAGATTCCCACTTTGTACACTTGTGGTTTGTCTGAACTCTGGACATTGTTCCTGTGAGAGCACTGTTCCTGGGTCATCTGAGGAGAGGCAGAAGGTGTTCAGATTAATAAAAACACTCAGGAACATTTGCAACATGGAGACTTCTCAGCTCAAACTGAGGTTTTCTTTCAGATGAACTCACGAGTCGTCGTTAGGGTTTTTAATAACCTGAGCCACATGAGTTATTTTGGTCACGTTCAAGTGAAAATTGGTGTGAAATTGCCCGGGGATTAAATTAAAACTGTATTTTCTTTTTAAACTGAAACCTGAGAACCACCTCCTCTGTTTAAAGTAGGTTTTGTTTTGAAAAATAATGGATTTCTCTCAAACCATCCATCSTCTGTTGACCACTGTCCTCAAGAGTTTCCTTCATCCTGGAGATGTAAGTGTACTTTTGTCAGATAAAAACACAACTGCTGCAGATTTCTGAGCATCTCCTCTACAGCTTTCAGCATTTATCAGCCCTGTCTTGTCCCATTTGTTTCAGTTAACTGGTTATGTGTGTGGTTGTCAAAAACGATTGGTTTTGGTGGTGTGGTGGATGGTATTTTGTATTTGCTCAGAGTTATTAGAGCTTCTTTATGGCACTGGAAGTGAAGAATCTCTTATCYTCCTCACAGCTACACAATTAGAACCATCATTAATCGCTACTATCAGCACATCAATGGGCCAGAGGGGTTATAATGGAGTTATAGACCACTTATGGGGTAATCAGTCAAAGGAATGGTTAACTAAACTGTCTGTCAAGGAGCCAGAAATGAGAGGACTGGACTGGGAGTAAGAGAGGGGAATGTTTATGGTATTCATGTTATTTATGTTCAGATGAGTCCAATCTCTGGTCCTTTCCACAGAGGAAGCACAGAGCTGCATCAGAGATCGTGAATGGCACCAATATGAATGCTCAAAAGATCGCCGTTTTTTTTTTTTTTTTACTGGTCTTGCACGCAGACACTAACTAAAACTTAGCAGATACAAGCTCACCACCAGTAATCCACACATCTTTTATCACCCAACAATCACCATACCCAGTCTTCCTTATTTCCTTATTCTTACTTCCTTAGTTTTCACCAGTGTTTCCCCTATCATTAAAGGGCCGCCCTCCAAACAGAACCACATGCTCTGCCTATAAGCCAACTCCTAAAAGGTCCATTATTTCCAGACAGTGAATGAAGAAAGAATATAGCAACGTGATTCAAATGACTTTGACCTAGCATCATCAACAAAGGGCTTCACGCCACACCCCATGCAAACATTAGCAACATTGGTGTTAGTAATGTTGCATTAATAACGTTAGCCTCTGCTCTGCCCCGCTGACACTTATCAGCATTAGAAACGTTAGCATTAATAACATCAGCATTAGAAACGTTAGCATTAGTAACATCAGCATTAGTACCGTTAGCATTAATAACATCAGCATTAGTAACATGTTCACCTTCATGTATCTTGTTGTTTGCTGGCTCCTATTAGTTTTCTAACTTCTGTTTTATTTGTAATATTTGTTATTTACAGGTTTATACACAACTACATGTTAAAGTCAGTTTTCCACACAGATCTTTCAGTACACAGAGTTGTTTAGCTCAGGCTTATTCAAACACAGGCCAAAAGAAGCCCAGGTTGTTTGAAGGGTTCTTTGGCAATATCCTCAGCGAGACTTGCGGGCCGTGCGACTGTGGATTAATAAAGCACCTGATCCCGCGGCGCTCTCCTTTCTGTTTCCATCTGCTCAGCTCCAGCCACAGGAGAGACCTTCAAACATGGCAGGCGCCTGGAACAAACCACTGCCCTGTCCAATCAGCCGTTTAAACAGGACCCGGTTGGGCCGACAGGAACACGTTGACATTTGTATCCAGCCATGAAGCCTGATTATGAAGAAGCACACATGCAACTGGAAGGCTGGCAGACAGGTTTTCCATTTCCTCTTTGTAGATTAGTTTTGATATTTTCTTGTCTGGTGTGACAGGCTCAGATAACTGACCCCAAACCTGATTCCACATTAAACAGATTGTGTCGGTAAAACCTGGTAAGCCGATGCCAGAAAACTCCAATATTAAAGTTTTGGGGAAAGAGTTGAATAAGTTCTTTAATTTAGTTACACATTTTTCACATTTCCTGTAATAAAAGCAGAAATCAGATTACAATCCAATTTTTCAAATTCATAAAATGCTTTTCGTTAGCCATCAACAAATGCAATTTCTGAGATTAAATAAAAAGTAAAAAATAAATATTTTTGGCAACAAGCAAAAAATAAAATAAACACCAGAATGCTTCAAACACCTGCCAGATATCTCCAGGTGTGAACGAAAGGCTGCGAGAATTGGCAAGAAGGCAACACTCACACCAACATGGAGGAAGGAGAGGTGTGTTATTTTACCAGAGAGTCCGGTTAATGAGCTCCACCATCTGTACCGAATGTGAGTTCTGCTGCCGCCAGCTTTTCTTCAGCAAAATGAAAAGAAAACTCAGAGTTATCATTTTTTAACGGCAGCAGTACTTTAAACAATAGATTTGACTTTTTAAAAACTTATCAGCAGATTTGAGTTTTTATTTGATATGTAATTTATTGCAGTTGAGCAACAAATGGAAAAAATATAAGAGAGCCTGTCCAGTGGTTAGAGTCTGAACCAGAACCTGAGTCTGACCCAGAACCAGAGTCTGACCCAAAACCAGAGGACAATGAAGATGAGGAAATTGTAGTTGGTCAGTCCAGACCTTCTATGGTAATTCCATCTCAGATTATTTGGCATAACAGCTCAGAAAACATCCTATAAAATAGAGAAAACTGAACAATCTGACCCAAACAGAATCTAAAGATATCTTAGTAGCACCAGGATAAACTAAATTCATCTTTTCTGCCTGCTAGAGACGAAGTACTCAACAAAATGTGGTTAACAGTTAAAAAAGTGGATTTTGCAGGATATGTCCCCTTATACTAAATTTTGCTAAATCTATTTAATGTCTTAGGGTGTATTCAGACCAGGAAAGTCCTTTGGTCCAATTGTTTGGTCCGGACCAAAAATGGACTTTATTTTTTTTTTCGTTTGGTGCGGTTTGCATTCACATTGTGCTTTTTTGCAAATGAACTATAACTTGTAAACAAAGCCACGAGTGTGACGATCATTGCTCCCATTGGACAAAAAAGGACGGGGGCGGGACTGAGCCACAGGATCCAGAAGAAAACAAGGAAGTCCTGCATGCTGCGGTTCTGATGCGCACATTTTTGCTGATAGTACAACTGCAATAGCATTTAAAATGTCAGAAGCAGCTAATTTAATGGTGGTTCCGTGATGATATTCTAATTTTGGAGTGGCGTCAGTAAATGTGTCCCGCAACCCAAAGGAGAAGAGGTGCTCTGCGTGTTCTGACCCACAACATGCTGGCAGTAGAGCTGCTAACAGGAGATGATGAAACAGGTATGTTTTCAGTTTATTTAGCTCAGCAACGGTGGCATGTGAAGTCCAAAAAGGTGCATGTTTAATGCAGTTGGTTCGGTTAGGTCTGTATTCACACCAGAAGCGAACTAAAGTGAACCGCACCAGAGTTCGTTTGGAAGCGGACTGAGACCACATCAAAAACCGGGTCTCGGTCCGGTTGTTTGATCCGCACCAGAGTTCGCATGAGTGTATTCACACCTGCACAAAAGTTCCGGACCAACGCTGGAAACGAACTCTGGTTCGTTTAAAGCAGAGCAAATTGTCAGGTATGAATACAACCTTAATGTTCAATGGAAACCTTGGCTTTAATACCAAGGCAGAAGTTCCATCCATCCCTTTTATTTACCCACTCCTTCTATCCTGAGTCACCCTGGAACAGTCAGGAAACTATGTTTAACTATCTAATAGTCGTTGAAAAGATCTCTGAGGCAAAGTTTTTATTAGATAAAAATTATTTAGATTCATTTGTGCGGCGCACTTCGGCGCGACGAGTCCTCGGTGGTGTCAATTTACGTCCGTCCGAAGGTGTGGCGCTGCGTTCTTGGAGACGATAGGCTCCGACGTTGAGGAATCAGGAGCTGCCGGAGCGGCGTTAGTACGGTCTCCTGCAGGACTCCGGTGTTTGTCTCATAAATGTAAATTCCATTGCAGAAATAATTCATTCAGTGTGGGAACTTACAGCAGACTGGCAGGCAGATGGGAACACTAATCAAAAGTCCAAACAGCAACGGATTCCCAGTCGTTCTGAAACTTTTTATAAACCTGCTCATTGCTTGATTGGCTTCTTATTGCCACATGTACATGTCGATGCATTGTGTGTCCACTCTCCTCGCCGAGTGTCTCACAAATCGAATAAATGCACCGCAGTAATGAAATATAACTGCTCTCTCCTCTGTGCTTTCTGCGGACCCTCCATGCATGCACAAAAGAGTCCTGATAGCTTTCCAATAAAGTCTGAGGGGACACGCTGACTGAGAAACAAAATGGGCCTTGGTTGGAGGCTAAATAATGGCCACTCTCACCGGAGTGGAGGTGTGCGTGCTAAGAAAGTGGAGCCGAGAAGCCAGGGAGAAAGAAAATAAGTGCCAAATTGGTGGCAAATCAAATCATTGGCCTTTGAGCCTTTAACCTCCACACCCACCCGTCCAACGGCGCCACGTGTTCAGCCAACTATTCATCCACACAGAACCCCTGAAAAACCCAACGGTCCCACAAACAAAGTCTGTCTCTGATTAGGGAGAGAAATGAGCTTTTACAAAATGTTATTGGTCATTCAGGCTGCCAAACAACCAGGCAGACCCCCCCTCCCCCTCTCATCCAGGTCCATTTGGACTTTTATAGATGAAATGTGGAGTCAGTGGCTGCTGCCAATTGATGGACCATTATTGGAGGCTGAACGCTGTCTGACTTTATAAACACACAAACCATCAACAGACATGCTGTCTGTGAGGAAACATCATCCCAGGGCATATGTTGATGTTTGCTAATTAGCATCCATCCATCCATCCATCCAGTTCCACAGTCAGGTCTTCAAGGGCAGCAGCTTGATCAGGAAGGTCCAGATCTCTTTCCACAGTAACTTCTTCCAGCTCTTCTGGGAGGACTCC